TCTACTTCCATAGTGATACTGCCTCAGAAACCCAAGGAGGGATCGCTATGAGTCAGGTCCAACTTGACAGTACAAAACAACACAACAACATGGAAAACCAACAGCCAACATTATTCTCAATAGAGAGAGACTGAAACCATTCCCCTTATGAACAGGAACCAGACAAGGATACCCTCTATCACCACTTCTATTCAGCATTGTATTGGAAGTGCTAGCCAGGGCAATAAGGCAAGAAAGGGAAATCAAAGGCATCCAGATTAGTAAGGAAGAAGTCAAACTGTCCCTATTTGCTGATGATATGATCCTATGCATAGAAAACCCAAGAGACTCAGCAATAAAACTGCTGGAACTAATTGAGAGATTTAGCATCATGGAAGAATACAAGATCAACATCCAAAAATCCGATGCATTCCTCTACACCAGCAAAGAGATTGCTGAAAAAAGAAATAAGGAAATCAATACCATTTATAATAACTACCAAAAATAAAATAAAATACTTGGGAATAAATCTCAATAGGGACACAAAAGACCTGTACAAATAAAACTACAAATCACTACTCCAAGAAACCATAAGAGATCTACAAAAATGGAAGGATATACTATATTTGTGGATAGGAAGATTGAACATTGTGAAAATGTCAATACGAGCCAAAGCAATTTATACATTCAGTGCAATCTCAATCCAGATCTCATCAGCATTCTTTAAGGATATGGAAAAACCAATCACTAATTTTATATGGAAAGGAAAGAGACCTTTAATAAGCAAAAGCACTATTGAAGAAGAACAAAGTAGGATGTCTCACACTCCTGGATCTCAAAACCATACAGCCACAGTAGTCAAAACAGCCTGGTACTGATACAATGACAGACCAGAGAACAGAATTGAGAACCCAGAAATAGACCCATTGACCTACAGTCAGCTGATTTTTGACAAAGGGCTGAAATCCATTAAATGGGCAAAAGGTGGTCTCTTTAAAAAATCATGCTGGAAAAACTGGATATCTATCTGCAGAAAAATGAAACAAGATCCATACCTCACACCATACACAAAAACTAACTCCAGATGGATCAAACACTTAAATGTGAAACCTAGGGGAGCTCTGGTGGCGTAGTGCCTAAGACACTTGACTGCTAACCAAAACGTTGGCAGTTCAAACCCACCAGCCTCTCCTTGGAAGAAAGATTGAGCAATCTACTTCCATAGTGATACTGCCTCAGAAACCTAAGGAGGGGGCGCTGTGAGTCAGAGATGACTCAAAAGCACATAACAACAACAAAACTATAAAGTTCCTCAAGGAAAAAATAGGGGCAAACTTAGGGTTGCATCCAACTGATAGTGACCCCTCCTGTGTTTCTGAGACGGTATCACTATGGAAGTAGATTGCCCAACCTTCCTTCCAAGGAGTGACTGGTGGGTTTGACCCACCAGCCTTCTGGTTAGCAGTCAAATGCGTTAGGCACTATGCCACCAGAGCTCCCAATTTATGGTATAAATAGACTGTCAAGCATAACCCAAAACACATAAACAGCTGAAGATAAACTAGATGAATGGAACATTCTAAAAATTAAATTTTTATGTGCTTCCAAAGACTTCTCCAAAAGAGTAAAAAGGGAACCTACAGATTGGGAAAAAATATTTGACAATGACATATCTGACAAGGGACTTATTATCTCTAAAATGTATAGAAAACTCCAACACCTCAATTACAAAAATATTAACAATCCAATTGAAAAATGGGCAGAAGACATGAATAGACACTTCATCAAAGAGGATATTCAGGTGGCCAGCAAATACATGAAGAAATGTTCATGATCATTAGCCATCAGAGAGTTGCAAATCAAAACAACAATGAGATACCATCTCACCCGAGTACTAATGGCAAAGTTCAACAAGACAGAAAATAACAAATGCTAGGGAGGATGTGGAGAAATTGGGACTCTCATACACTGCTGGTGGGTCTGTAACATGATACAACCACTGTGGAAAACAGTATGGCAATTCCTTAAAAAGCTGAAATTAGAATGACCATTTGACCCCGCAATCCCATTACTAGGTATATATCATAAAGAAGTGAGAGCCAGGACACGAACAGATACATGCACACCCATGTTCATTGCAACACTATTTACAATAGCAAAAAGGTGGAACCAACCTACGTGCCCATCAACAGAAGAATGGATAACCAAACTATGGTCATACGCACAGTGGAATACTGTGCAACACTAAAGAATAATGTAGAATCTGCAAAACACCGCATAACATGGATGAACTTGGAGGTCATTATGGTAAGTGAAATAAGTCAATCACAGAAGGACAAATACAGTATTAATTCATTATTGTAAAAAGTAAAGGAAAGGTTTATATATGGAAGGAAACTTTCTTTGTTGGTTACCAGGAGTGGCAGGGGAGGGGAGGGAACACTGCAAAATTTTTTAAAACATAAAAGACAGAACTAGCTATTTTCATCTCTGATGTTCTGTGGGGCCCTGATGGCCCAATGGTAAAGCCCTTGGCTGCAGACCTAAAGTTGATGGTTTGAGCCTGTTAGCTGCTCCATGGGAGAAAACTCAAAAAAAAAAAAAAAAAAATGCCATAGAGTCCACTCCAACTCATAGTGACCCCCAGTCTGTTTCTGTGCCTGTAAATCTTTATGGAAGTAGAGTGCCACATCTTCCTCCTGCAGAGCAGCTGGTGTGTTTGAACTGCTGACCTTCTGGTTAGCAGCCAAATGCCTTATCCATGATGCCACCAGAGCTCCATGGGAGAAGAGAGTGGCAAGTCTGCCACCCTGAAGATTGACAGCCTCGAAACCCCTATTAGGCAATTCTCCTCTGTCAAATAGGGTCAACTTGAGTTAGAATTCTAGTCCACAGCAATAGGTTTGGTTTGGTGTTCTGAGCTGATTTCTTAATTGGGTGCACTCTCTCCTCCCAGCCCTTCACCCTGCCTCCTGCCTCACCCAATGAATCCCTTACCTCTGTGCTTGGTCTTCATGTTCCTAGGTAGTCTTCTATCTCTGTAATGTGAAAGCATTCTTTGAAGACAACCACTATGCGGATGCATTGCTGATCTTAATGCTGTTCGGCTGGTCTACCATCCCTTTGATATACCTGATGAGCTTCTTGTTTTCCAGTAGTGCTGCTGCCTACACCAGACTGCTGGCATTCAGCTTCCTTACAGGCGTTTCCAGCTTTCTCTTGGTCTACACAATCGATACTAATAGTAAGTGGAAAGCTTAGGGCTTTCATTTCTTCATGAATTTTGCTTTTGTCCTGGGAGCATTAGTGAGGAAATAATCACAGAATTCGGATGGGCATATTTTTAAGAAAGTAACTTCCTAAATGTATCTGAAAATGCCTACTTGTTGAAACACTATCCCAATTTGGACTCCATTACTATGAGGCTTGTCTTAATTCAGTGATTATTGTTGCTTCTAATTCATTCTTTTGGAGAATGAAAAAGATGTAGTTTACTGATCCCTCCTTCCATCCCTCCACATACAGGTTATAGAATCTGTATTTAGGGGTATTGGAGGCATTTCATTCCTGAGAATCTTTTCACTCTGATGTTCCTTACAAAGGTGGGGAGCCAGCTGGGTCAGTGAATAAAGAGATGATTCGCCCAGAGATAGAGCTAGGAAGGCTAGAGAGGATGGGGGGGGGGGGGGAAGTCCTACAGACTCTAATAATACAAATACTCAGTGATACTCTATCAGTGAATCATAGAGCAGTCTCTGACTTACCTGTTTTCTCATTTATGTAACATTTATTGAGCCCCTACTGTGTGCAAGATGTTGGGAATACAACTTTAAACAAGATGGATAATGGATAATGTCCCTATTCTGCCAGAGTATACGTAATAACAGTAGGGAGAGAACAAGAAAACACAAGGTAGTAGTAAGTGCTATGATAAAAGTAATAATAATCACTGTGATAAAAATAAAAGAGGCTTACCCAATGAAGAGTGACTGAGGACTGTTTTAGTTAGGTGGCCTCTTTGATATGAAGATCAGGTGAAAGAATATACCAGGCTGATGAAACAGCTAGTGAAAAGATTTTAAAACAGGAATGAGCCTTACATGGTCTATGGAACAGAAGAAAGGTCATTGTGCTTGGAACATTGTCTGAAACGAGTGGAGAGGTGGATAGGGGCCGGACCTTGAAGGGCATTGTGGGCCAGGATGAGAAGTTTAGATTATAGTCTAAGTGTGATCTCATGGCATTAGAGTTGTGAGGAAACTCTTTGAGACAACAGGTTTTCTATTTCCTCCTCTGTATGCCCAGGAAGCCCACATAACGTAGTTTCCCTCTTCGTCATAGAAAATTGGAAAGTATATAAAAGTAGAAGAAATTATTCTTCATTTCACTTATTGAAAACAGCTACTTGAACGAATTTGATATATTTTTCCAATTTTATCCAAGCATTATTTTATATTGATGAAATAATTAGACTCACATTGTTTTCATTTGTGTGTTAGCTTTCTATTACTGTGTAATAAATTACTACCAAATTCGCATTTTAAAAATAACAAATTTATTAACTCACAATCTTCCTGGGTCAGGAGTCTGAGCACTGGGGCTACCTGGGCTCTCTTCTCAGAGTGAAATTAAGGTGTTGCCCAGGGCTGCACTTCCATCTGAGGGTCAGGGTTCTCTTCCAAGCTCATTGATTGTTGGCAGAATTCATTTCCTTGCAGTTGTAGGACTGAAGTCCCCATTTTCTTGTTGGCTATCAGGTAGGAACCATTCTCAGATCCAAGAGGCCACTTACTATTCTCTGCCACAAGGCCCTTATCCCAACATGGCAGTTTCCTTCTTTAAGGCCAGCAGGAGAATCTCTCTTGCTTCAAATCTTTCTGATTTCAGGAAGGGCCTAGTTGATGGCAGTGGGTTTGAGTTTTGGGGGTTTTTTTATTTGTTGGTTGGTTGGTTGGTTGGTTGGTTTCTAGTCACTTTTAAAGGTAGCTCTGGTGGCATAGTGCCTAATGCATTTGACTGCTAACCAGAAAGCTGGCAGTTCAAACTCACCAGTTACTCCTCAGAAAGAAGATTGGGCAATCTACTTCCTTAGAGATATGACCCAAAGAGGGGTTGCTATAAGTCGGAACTGACTTGACGGCAGTGAGATTGGTTTTTTGGGTTTTTTTAGTCACTTTTAACAGCCCACCTAGAATATGCTTCCTTTTGATTAACTCAAAGTCAACTGATTGAGAACTTTATCTCATCTTTGAAACCTTCTGCCCTTTGTCATATGACATAACCTAATCACAGAAATGAAATCTGTCATATTCATAGTCCCACCTACATCCAAGTGGAATGATTATACAAGGTGTGGACATCAAGGTGCCGGAATGTTGTAGACCGTTTTAGAATTCAGCCTACCACACTTTGTATGACATATGTATTTTCCTATGCTATTATTCACACTCTATAAATACTTTATACCCACATAATGTTTATTGAATAGATGTGCCATAATTTAGCTAACTGTTGTTGTTCATCTAGATTATTTCTAATGGTTTACCTGTAATGAAAGATGTAACAAATAAACATCTCTGTGCATAAAGCTTTTCTGTCATTTAACTTCTTTACGATAAATTTCCAAGAGTGGAATAATAGGCCATTTATTGAGTGTCCTACAAAGTAATTAACCCCTGGACTCTTTGGAACCCAAAGGCTTAACTCCTGTCCACCTTTACATCTGTCTCAACCATAATTTTAGGGTAGTACACAAGACTGAAGCACTAACTTCAATAATGTCCTACATTACATCCATTACAGCAAGCCTTCCTACCTGTATATGCCACCTCACTTGGCTTGTAAGAGACACAGGGACTGGAGAATTGGATACCATTCCTCTTCACCTTGAGTAGTAGATAACCTCTCCAAACACACTGGACCATAGCCTTTCCTAGAACTCTGAACTTCATGACAGGGTAATGTTTAATGTTACCTAGCTGGAAATTTTCAAAAATTATCTGGAATATTTTGATGTGCTAGGTTCATGTGCATTTTCTGCAATGGAAAATAATTCCTATATGTTCTATTCTAGTGATGGATTTGGGAATATTCAACAAAATACTGGTCAGTATATTCTTTCTGTTTCCCACTCACAACCTGGGCAAGTCCATCAGTGGATTTTATGACAACTTCCGGACCCAGAGATATTGCACCAACAGTTCTTTTGAAGACTGTAAGATGAATAGTGAGTACCAAGGGTCCCACCTTGTCCTGAGTAGTAACTAATCCCTTCTTTCACTAGCATTCCACATTTAAGTACAGAGGTATTTTTTAAGAAGTTTGGGGGTTTTTTAAGGATGTCTAGAATGTCTATAGATGACCTTTTTAATATAGAAGCATTTCCCCACTTAAGGAAGTTTCCACAAAGCCCTTTACACCTGAAAAGATTAAAAAGGGTAAGTTGTATATTCACCTGACTCAATTGCTATTCATGATCCTGGAGATGTTTACTTAGAAGTAAACACTAAAGAGTTGTAGTGCCCTTTAGGATTTGACAGCCACCAAGAGCTAACATTAATTGACTGTTTTCTATGAGCCTTGCTCTGTTTTAAAGGCTTTAACTATGTTATTCTCGAAACTACCTTGTGATGCACAGGTTATTATTATTATTTTATCATTATTCTACACATGTGGAAACTGGGGCAGAGAGACTAAAAACCTTTTACCAAAATCTCAAAATTTGTAGAGGTGTTAGAGCCGGGACTTAGACCTAAGCAGTATGGCCCCAGAGCATACTCCTCACAGGTCTACTACTTGCCTGAATGCTCATAAGAAATAATTTGCATAATTTAGGGCTGCTGAGAGACATTCTAAGGAGCTCTGGTGGCATAGTGTGTATTTGGCTGCTAACCAGGTTAGCGGTTCAAACCCACCAGCTGTTCCGCATAAGAAAGATGAGGCAATCTACTTCCATAGAGATTAACAGCCTTAGAAACCCAATGAGGGTCACTGTGAGTCAGAATTGACTCAATGGCAGTGGGTTTTTAGAGATACTCTGCTCTCTTGAAGTCTTGAGGCTGCAACCACATTTCATATTGCAGATATCTTAAAGAGTAAGAGAAGAAGGAAACAACAAAAATAATGTTCATCTGAACCCGCATTTACTCTGCATATTCCCTTGAGGCTTATAAACTGCTTTGCTGGACTCCCTTGAGCTTCCTTTTCTTTCATTTGTTCTTTTTAAAAATCTTTATAGGTACTGTTTTTAGCACTTGGCAGTTCACCTGCTAGTGAGTTGACATGTTTATTTACTGAACGTCCTGAAAGGATCGAGCTGATGACATTTTGGCAGAAATGGAAATAGTAATATAATGTAGAAAAATAGAATAAAACACCGTGACTTCCAAGTTAATTTACCTGGTTCTTTTATTCATAAAGCTTAAGGCTTATCTCTAAATATTTACTTTTCCATCTTGTTGTTGTTGTTATGTGCCATCGAGTCAAACCCGATGCATAGCGACCCCTCCTTGGGTTTCCGAGGCAGTATCACTATGGAAGTAGGATTGCCCAACCTTCCTTCCGAGGAGTGACTGGTGGGTTTGAACTGCCAGCCGTCTGGTTAGCAGGCAAGTGTCTTAGCCACTATGCTACCAGTGCTCCCTTTCCATCTTGTAGTCACACACTATTTTAAAAACTGCAGTACCACTGCCGCCCAAACACAGAAGAGACAGTCAGCTAATGTAGAGAATCACTGCTTAGCAGAGCAAAAACTTCCATAGTGGTAAATTAGTTCGACTAATTTAAATCAAATGACATATTTCATTGGGAAAATCTGCTGCAAAAGACTTCTTTAAAGTGTTTAAGAGCAAAGATGTCTCATTAAAGACTATGGTGCACCTGACACAAGCCATGGTCTTTACACTAGCCTCATAAGCATGTGAAAGCTGGATAGTGAATAAAGAAGACCGCAGAATAACTGATGCATTTGAATTGTGGTGTTGGTGAAGAATTTTGAAGGTCCCATGGACTGCTACAAGAATGAACAAATTTGTCCTGGAGGAAATACAGCCAGAATGTTCTTTAGAAGTGAGAATGGCCAGACTTCATCTCTCATCCTTTGGTCATGTTGTCAGAAGGGACCAATCCCTAGAGAACAGCATCATGCTGGATAAAGTAAAAAGGGGAAAGAGCCTCAACTAGATGGATTAACACAGTGGCTACAATGATAGGCTCAAGGACAGCAATGATTGTGAGGATGGTACAGGACCAGGCAGCATTTCGTTCTGTTGTGCGTAGGGTCACTGTGAGTTGGAACTAACTCCACAGCACCTAACAACACAACATAAAGGAGAGTCACTCTCTGTGGACCTGGTGCATACCCACTTGTCCCCTTAGCCTTCAAACTAACCCTAATCATTTTGAGTGAACATAGGAAAGTGATAGGAAACTTTTATCTAAACTCATGTACCCCAGATCTATCTGTCTGACCCAAAATACCTGAACATGTTGCTTCTATTCATCCAAACATGGTTGAAGATAAACAGAGATTATGCTTGTTAAGCTTTCCATTATGCCAGCTTTTGAGAGGCAGAAAGATATGCTAGGATTGAACAGTCTCCTATTAGAAATTGATTTAAGAAAGAGTCTCAACAGCAGGTTAAAAAGTCAACTGGATGAGGTTCAACATGCACCTACCATGATTTCCTGTAGAGAAACATAGTTCATGGGAGTATCATAACAAAGGGCAAAAAAAAAAAGGTCAGAATTCCTTGTAGGCAAGCTTCATAAGGAGCAGGGATTAGAACACCCTGCTGGTGCCTGGGAAAAACAGCAAACACAGCCCCTAATAAGAAAGGTTTCTGAACTCAATCAGCAGGATATGGCCCTGTTACCAAAGTGGAGCCTCTCACCTTCTGCCCTATCTGTATGCTACATTTGTAATATGGGGAAAAGTTATCAAATGGGTCCAGCGATACCAACTACTCTAGAATTTAAAGGAAGTTGAGGTACCAGACACTTGAAGCATCCAGGATCTTTACTTTGTAACTGTGACCTCCAAAGGAGTTCTAAAAGATTCTGTAAGTCCGTTATATTTCACCATGACTAGACTTTAGTGCCCTTCCATATTTGCATGGTAAACCTTATTTCTCAATGAAAAAATGAAAAAGTGGAGTATTTTTAATTATTAAAATAATATCAGGCACAAGATGAGACTTTTTATTTATTTATTTGTTTGTTTGTTTGTTATTTTAAGAGTTTGCTTTACATTCAACATTACGTGTACATTTAGTTTCACTTCCCATTGACCATTCCTAGCCCTAACCCAGTCTCCTCCCCTCCCTGCCCAATAACCCTCCCCCACCCCTGTGCCCCTCATAGTTACGGACTCCTGAGTGTCCTGCATTGCCTCTGTGTGAATGATGCCCCTCTGGTGCCCAGTGGTCGATTGCTCCAAGGGATGCATTTCCATAGAGTGTGTGGGTGCGTCACCCTGGGTTGAGTGGTCTGCATGTACATGTTGTTTATTATAGGGCTGAGAGCCAGCTCCAGGGAGGGAGTTTTATTCCAGGCCCAGAATGTATCTCAGGACCATAGTGTTGGGGGTCTCACCCGACTCCATCAGACCAATAATTCTGGTTATTATTGAGTTTTTGGATTTTGTTCCACATTTTTCCTCCCACTCTATCCAAGATCTCCAAAGAGGAAATGTTTTAATGATATCTGGGGAGATAAAAAAATGCCTCAGTACTCTTAAAGCAAGGTCTGACCTTATGAGTAATTTTACGTTCGTCATTTTCAAGCATGCAGAAAATATGGGTCAGAAGAATAGTGAGTGTGTGGGAGGAATATGAGGAGTCCAGCATTGATCAAGGTGGCTCAGGGGTAAGGCTATCCAGGATATTAAAGAGTATTTTCCATCCTTTCCATGCTTGCCTCTGTTTTTATAAGAGAGAGAGACAGGAATTCAGCTATCCATTGGTCATTGTGGATATTGATTGTAATTATAAACCTAAAGGAAAAGAAAAACAATTTTGGGTGGATTCAAGATGGAGTCTCACCAGTGAGCACCATGTTTTTTTCCCTCTGGCATCTAAGAACTTTAAGAACTAGGTACAACAGTTTGAATTGAGATTTTTGGCACTGTGAACAGCTCACTGATCCAGATTGCACCAAACACAGAAAAGCAGAATTGGAGAAAAGGTACAGGGAGATTTTGTAGGAAAGAGCTACTGCCAGAAAACAAACGGGCACCTGAAAGAGACCATTGGAAACCTTTCTGGGGCAGTCACTGTCTGCCGGGTGGAAGCAGCAGCCTGAGATCCCTGAGCCAAGAATGAGATCAATATAGCAGCTTACCAGTGACCGATACAATATTCCAGCGGGCAGCGGCAAAGACCTGTCTCCAGCAGATGATTTTGTTGGTAATTGGGAGGTGAGGGTGCAGCGGGACACGGACACCATTGCTGATACACAGGTGGACATCTCCCCTCCCAGCAGATTACAGAGCGGGTTTAGGTCAGACTGGGAGACACCATGCTTTTCTTTGCCACAGTTATCGGGACTGCAGATCACTGGCAGTTACTCCCCCGAATCTACCACAGCTAAAATTGCACCCATCTTTGGTGCCGCAGGTGGTCAGTATCGCAGACAAACTCCAGAGCCGACCATTGCTGGTCGGGCAGGATTGCGTTACCACCACAGACAGATGGGACACGGAGAGCAGAAAAACTGCAACTGAGTGTGCTCACTTGAATTTTGCCCTGGAGCCATGCTTTGGCACTGTGGGGCTGTGGAGGCAGGGGCTTGGAGTGTGCATGAAATTGGCAGAAATTTGTGACCCTCTAATAATATGACTCTTTCCTGAGATTGAGCCGCGGTCTTGCAAATAAATACATCATAAGTAAGAACCTTCTCAGGTACTCCCCTAAGTCCAACACACCTGAAATTACACACATCTTTGACGCTGCAGATGGGCGGTATCACAGACAAACTCCAGAGCTGGCCATTGGCGGTCTGGCTGGATTGAGTCAGCACCGCGGGCAGAAGGGGCACAGAGAACAAAGAATCTGCAGCTGAGCCCAGTCCCCAAATTTTGCCTTGGAGCTGCACTTTGGCACTGTGGGACCGCGGAGGCAGGGCCTTTGAGTGTGCCTGAAATTAGCAGAAATTTGTGACCCTCTAACAAGAGGAATTTTTTCCTGAGGTTGAGCTGTGGTCTTGCAAATAAATACATCATCAGTAATACCCAGCTCAAAGCCCTAGAAACCAACCTAGCAACACTAAGCTTTCCTGCTTCTGCTCCCACTTTCCCCGCCAATAACTTCACTCATTAAATAGAAGAAAGCATATTCAGCCAATTACCATAAAACCTCACACTTCGAACTCTAAACCCTCTGTCCGAAAAACAAAAACACATATCCACACTACACACAGTGATTCCACCATCACAAAGAAAACAGCAGAGCAACCCAATACACCTAAATCAATATTAAGATAAAACAAACCAGCTTCAGCTTTTCAAAATATTAAACAGTAAAACCAAGACAGAACAAATCAACATGTAACCAGCACCTAGAGACAACCTAAAGAGACAATGCTCTACCAGATTCCAAGGGCTTAAGAAGAGGTTCTGCTTTCCAGTAAGCCCAAGAACTCTCCAAACAGACCTACACAACTGAAAATGTCTGAGTTTACACCTTCTTTTTTTTTTTTTTTCCTTTTCTTCTCTAGTGATTAACCCCATTACTTGTTGGGTTTTTTGGTTTGGTTTTGTTTTTGCTTTTTTTTTCTCTCTCTCTTTTCTGTTTACTAGTTTTTTCTTTCTTCATTATTCTCCTTCTCTACCTTTTTTCTTTTAGTGACCTATCCCCAGATAATGCATATTTACCTATTTTCTTTTTCTTTTCTCCACTTTTTCTTTTCTTTTTTTTTTTTTTGGTTGGGGGGGGGTTACTGTTCCTGTGTGATTTCAGGGTGTATTTTTTGGCTTTGTGCTTTTAGTTTTTTCGATGGTTATTCAATTGTAATTTTTGCCTAACTGAGTGGGAGACAACAACAGTCCCCATAAGATACAAGTAACCCACACCTCCTGCAACTTAACTTACTGAGCAAGAGCTAGCATCTCTTTCTCCACCAGCTGGCCAACGATTTA